GAGGGGCAGAGGAGCTCGGGCTTCCTCAGGAAAGCGTTTGGGGAATTTGCAGCTGGTGGCCAGAAGCTGACAGAGCTGCCAAAAGGGGCAGTGACAGGAGCTCAGAGGGCAGCGGTGATTTTTCCACGGTGCACACAGCAGCAGTTTGATGGAATAACACAATGGTTTGGCATGGAAGGGACATTAAACTCATCTCATTCCACCCCCTGCCATGGGCAGGGACACCTTCCACTAGCCCAGGTTGCTCCAAGCCCCATCCAACCTGGCCTTGGACACTTCCAGGGATGGGGCAGCCACAGGTTCTCTGGACAACCTGTACCAGGGCCTCACCACCATCATAGTCATGAATTCCTTCCCAATATCGGATCTAACTCTGCCCTCTGTCGATGGGAAGCCATTCCCCCTTGTCCTGTCACTCCATCCCTTATCCACAGTCCCTCTCCAGCTCTCCTGGAGCCCCTTTAGGCAGTGGAAGGGGCTCTGAGGTCTCCCGGGAACTTTCTCTTGTCCAGGTGAACCCCCCCAGCTCTCCCAGCCTGGCTCCAGAGCAGAGGGGCTCCAGCCCTTGGAGCATCTCCATGGCCTCCTCTGGACTCTCTCCAGCAGCTCCACATCCTTCCCGTGCAGAGGAGTTTCATGTAACCCAAGGACGGAGAAGAGAAATCATGGAATTGCTGAATCCCTCTCCACAGGAATGCCAGAGAGCGTGGGACAGGCAGCTCCAGCCCCAACTGTTGTGGCACTAATGTGTTATGCCACATTACCAACAACAAACTGGGAATGGCAGTGTCCAACCATGCAGCTTTGTTGCCTTCCTGAAGCCCTTTCCATATCCAACACAGGCAGAGAAATCCCTGGAAGAAAGAAAAAAATTCCTGAAAGATCCCAGAATCCCAGAATCACTGATATTGGAAAAGACCTCCAAGACCATCAAGTCTAACCTTTGACCCATCACCACCTTCTCAACCAGACCAGAGCACTGAGTGCCACATCCAGCTGTGTCTTGAACACTTCTGGATCTTTCCAAATGCCTGGTGGTCTCCACTCTTAACCCCTCGGAGCAGGCACAGCCACCAGCTGCCAGAGGAGCACGGGGCAAGTGATACGAGTTCCTTGGCCAAGCTGTCAGCTTGCCTTGGGTGAGGGAGTGCCCTGTGCAGCATGGAGCTGGTCCCATCCCCATCCTACGTGGAACAACCCTGGGGATGGTCTGGATGCCAGCTATGACAGTCCTGTACCCTTCTTCACTGCCAGTGGGCTCTGAGGCACAGCGATCCCAGAGCATCGGGAAGGAAAGGGCTGATCCTGAGACTGCCTTTGGGGAATCCTGACCACACTCCGCTCCGTGCCCCTTCCCGGGAAAGCGAGCAGAGCTGGCACTCGGACCACAGCCCTGCCCAGCCCGCGGGGCAGCGAAGCAGAGGTGATTCGGGCGGCTGCTGCACGGCGCATTGCTTCCCGCGGCTCGGCCGGCGCTGCCCTGTCAGGAAGTCACGCCGAGGGCGCAGGGGCAGTGCCCGGGAGCCCGCCCCGGGGTGTCCGTCGGTCCCGACCGCGTGGATCCAACCGCGGGCTGCGGGAGCGCCATCGGCGGCTGGAACACCCCCCCAGGCACCGGGGGCTCATCCGGCCCGAGGCAGGGGGAGATCAGGTGCCGGAGAGAGCTGAGAACTTGGAGTGCCTGGCCCTGCCTCATCCCTGGTTTTGGCAGCGGTTAGAGGAAGCAGACGTGAGGGAAGGAAACATTTCTGAGCCGGCTGGTGAGTCACTGGAAAAACTCACCCTTGATCCCGCTGTCCCCCAAAGTGAGGGGGGCTTGGTGCAGGTGCTGGAGGAGAGTTTCTCCCCGGGAGGGTGGTGCAGCCCCGCGACACAGAGAGGTAGGGAGGGATCCATCCTTGGAGGATTTTGGGATGTAGCCAAAAAAAGCTGTGGCTGATCGGGGCTGGTGCCGGCACAGACCTGCCAGAAGCAGGAGGCTGTACTGGGGACCCTCAAGACCCCCCACCACTACACAGCTGAGTCAGCACATTTTCAGGAGCCGTTAATCTCTGCTTGCTGCCTTTTTTGCAATCTGGTGACCAGATTCTCCTGTCAGCAGTGCCTGGTGCTGACAGGGACCTGTAGGGACCCTCAGAGGTCATTTTCCACCATCCCCTTGGGGGCTGGTGATGAATCAAACTACTGGCTGAGAAGAGGGAAACCATGAAGCCCTCTGTTGCAATTTCCTGCCCCAGATTAGAGAGGAACAAGCAGAGCTGGGGTTCTCCCTTCCCATGGTCAGACTGACACATCTGGCTTCCCTGTCCGTAACTTGGCATTTCTAGTTTCTCCCGATTCCACGGCATTCCCTGGTCACTTAGGAGCAGGAGCCTGCAACAAGGCAGCCCAGGCAGGACAGTGCAGAGCCTCAGGAGCCACCCTGCTTTTGAGGTGGGATGGGACCAGTACCACTGGCTCCCTGCCACAGAGAGGGTGGCACAGGTGTAGCTCCTGGGTGTTGGCTGCTGGTCTGAGTGTTGCCTCGAGTCACATAGCCAGTCAGGTAGCCCTCAGTAGCCAGGTGGGTGCCCATGGGGTGTGCAGAAGCAATGAGGGCAGTGCCATGTCCCCGAGGGGTGGCTCTGCAGGGCAGAACGTGCCCGAGCCAGGATGGGAGTCCTGCAAGTCCCCTCACTTGCTGTTCACTGTTCCCCCTCATTTTCAGGTTGTTCACCATGAGTGTGGCTGTTCTGCTCCTCCTGGGGCTGGGGCTGTTGGGGGCAGAAGGCAGAAGAAACAGGTGTTACTTCAACCGCACCCAGGAGCGCTGTGTGTGCTACAACCTGACCGAGGAGACCGCGGGCAGCCTCATCCAGTGCCTCGCTGCAACCGTGGTGGAGTTTCGGGGGGGAGAGCTGGAGAAATACATAGCCTTCCCCATCAGGGACCTGGATGACTCTACCATTGAGACTCTGGGCTCCCTCATCATCCAGAAAGTAATTATTGCTGATGTGCTGGTGCCTGAGATCCTCCTGGCCCGTGTGCTGAGGTTTTTCTCCTACACCCACGTGAAGGAGCTGGCGTTTGACAGCTGTGTTTTCCAGGGCACGGGTGACTGGCATGGAATGGATGACCAGAGCTTGCCCATATTGTCCCTGAGCTTCAACAACGTGACATCTGCCCCGCTGATGGGCAATGAACAGGCCTTCTCCAGCCTGAGCACGTGGCTGGAGACACTGCAGGAGCTGGCTGTCACCAGCTCCAGTGTCACCAGCCTGCCCTGTGCCATTGGAAAGGTGTTCGGAGCTCTGCACACCCTGGACCTGGCACAAAACAGCCTCGGGGATGGGAGCCTGACACCTGCCTTCTGCCAGGGAGCTTTCCCTCAGCTCCAGGTGCTGAGTCTGCAGCACAACAACCTGACGTCCTACCACAGTGTGTGTGAGGGTGTGCAGCTGCTGCAGGGGCTCCAGAATCTCAATCTCAGCCAGAACAAGCTCATGGCAGACCCATCCTCCTCCTGCCAGTGGCCAGCATCCCTCCGGGTCTTTAACCTGTCCCACACTGGCTTGGAGGTAGTGCTGACACCTCTGCCTCCCAACCTGGAGGTGCTGGACATGAGCCACAACCACCTCCGTGCCGTGGACATCTCCCTCAGCTCCCTGAAGAAGCTCTTCCTGAGCCAAAACCTGCTGCAGGCCGTCCCCTCCCTCAGGAATTACCCCGTGCTGGACACCCTCCACCTGGACAACAACTCCATCGCGGAGCTGCCCTGGGATGAGGTGACGCTCCTGGGGCGCCTGCAGGACGTGACTGCGGCCAACAACCCCTTCAACTGCTCGTGCTCTGGGGCTGGGGGGCTGCAGGCACTGGCAGCTATGGGGCACCTGGGGCAGGGCTGGCCACAGGACTACACGTGCCAGTCCCCGCCGCGGCTACCAGGGTGGCGGGTGGTGGGTGCGGTGTCGGTGCTGCGGTGTCACCGCGCCGCCGTTGGGTCGCCCCGCTCTGCGTGGCCCTGGCCCTGCTGGGCCTGGCAGGGGCCCTCTGCCTGCTCAGGGCCAGGCCCTGCCGCAGGGTGAGATGTCGGAGCCTTCCCAGCAGTGCTTCCACACAGGAGCTCCAAGGGAAGGCTCACAGGCCCCCCAAGTGAGGGGCTCTCTCGGTGTCCCCAGCCCGGGCTGCCCTGGGCAATGTTATCCCACTGTGCCTTTGCCCAGCCAGGTTTTGGGGCACCCCTCACTCAAAGCCCCGTGCCATGCTCTGTCCCAGGGCTGTACCCTCCCTTGTGGCCAGCTCCAGCTCCCCAAGCCCAAACATGCCCCCATTGCCCCTGCGATGTCACCTGCCCCGGATAAGAAGAATTCAGCTCCATCATATTCCCACTGGTGGCACTCAGATGCCCCAAAACTCTCTGGGGTCTGGTGTTCCCTGCCCAGACCCCCACAACACCTTGTAGCCCCCCTTCCAGCCATCCTTGGAGCCTCTGTGGCCCCTCTGCTGGTCCTCCATCTCCTCACCTGGGGCTGTGCCTGGGCCAGGATGTTTGGTCTGTGAGGATGCTGCTTTGCTGCTCTTCAGCACAAGAGAAAACCCACAAAGACAGAAAAATAACTAAATTAAACACCCCCATACACAAATGCCAACGAGGAGGAGCAGCCAAGACCCGAGCTCCAGAGGCACCGATGGACACATCCCTCTGGTGTGACCTTGAGGACGTTCAACCAGAAACTTTTTGTGAAAAGAGGAAAATGGGCTTATTCTGGTTTATGCAGAGAATACCTCGTAGTAAAGAGAAAATTGATTATGGGGTGCTGAGGGAGAGCAGAGGAATACAGGACAATGGGGAATGCTTATGGGAAGGATCAAAAGGAAGGGGTGAGTGGGGAAGGGAAAGGCATGGGAAAATGGGGACTGGGGGAATCATAGAATCACAGGATCTTTTGGGTTGGAAGGGACATTAAAGGTCATCTCATTCAACCCTCTGCCATGGGCAGGGTCACCTTCCACTAGCCCAGGTTGCTTCAAGCCCCGTCCAGCCTGGCCTAGGACACTCCAGGGATGGGGCAGCCACAGCTTCTCTGGGCAGCCTGTGCCAGGGCCTCCCTACCCTCACAGAGAAGAATTCCTTCCCAATATCTCATCTAACCCTGCCCTCTGACAGTATGAAGCCATTCCCCCTTGTCCTGTCCCTCCAGGCCCTTGTTAAAAGAAGGGACTGGTTGCAGGTTGGCAGAGCTCACCTGGCCAAGCCCTGCTCTTCATCCCCTTGACCTGTCCTGCCTTCTCATTAGGGTCCTGGCTATTTTCTGGGGTGAAGTTCTTGGGTATTTTCTGTGTCCCTCCCTCTCTGCTCTGTTTGTGCACAGGTATGTATATGTGACCTGTGAGCAAACACGGGCTGGGCTGGCTGGGAATGGAGGAAAACCAGAATGTGGGAAGACCCAAGGCTGGAGCAGGAGGGTGGCTGCACAGGGCCTGGGGTGCAGGCACCCACAGTATTATCCTGCTGTGGCTTTGCCCAGCCAGGTTCTGGGGAACCCCTCAAAGCCCCATGCCATGCTCTGTCCCAGGGCTGCACCCTCCCAGGGGGGTTTTCCCTATGGTCAACTCCAACTGCCCAACTGCCCAAGTCCCAACATGCCCCCAATACCGCTCCTGATGGAGCTCCCAGTGCTGCCTGTTCCATCTGTGTCCACCTGGCACCACCCTCACACCTGAGGCACAGGTGAGGGGGGTTTTGGGGAGGCAGGGCACTGGTTGTCTTCTACATGGGGAATGGTGGCGAATGGAGGGATCCGTGTGCATCTCCTCATCGTGCCTGGTCCTGTCCAAAAGCAGGGGTGGGGCTGTCCTGGGACCTCTCTCCTGTCTCCCACCATCTGTGTTTCCACAGACCCCGGAGACCCTCAGCTTTGGCGTTTCCTTCTGTGCTCTCTTGCTGTGACTCATCTCCAGTAAATGTGTTTCTGTGGTTTGTGGTCTCTTCCCATGCCTAGAAAACCTTCATGACAGCCCAAGGTTCCTCATCTCCCATCCATGACTTGCAGAGATGTCCCTCTTGGAATCAGGAGCACACCAATGGTGTGAGTGGCTCCAGGCACCCACTTGCCTCCCATGGTGCTGCTGATTCCTTGGCCAGCAGGGCTCAGCCTCTGGAACACGGTGCCTCTGGGCTGGGTCTACCTCTGCCCATATGGCTGTGCCTGACTCCCATCAATAATGCAGGAGAACAGGATACCACCTTGTGTAACCCCATCCCCTGCCCTGGCCAAAACAGCAGCTGCTGCTGCTCCTGCTGAGGTGCCCATGGACGCTGGGGAGGTGAGTGCCATGGTGGGGGACATGCCAGGGCAGTTTGGAGGGATCTGTCCCCTGATTTTGGTGTGGTGTGGCCGGGGGCTGCCCAGCTCCCTGGGGGCTCATCCAGTGCCTGGTGGGTGCTGAGTGCATGGGGCAGGACCCGGCTCATTCCCCCTCTGTCCTGGGGCAGGACCCGGCTCATTTCCCCTCCATCCCAGGGCAGGACCTGGATCATTCCCCCTCCATCCTGGGGCAGGACCCGGCTCATTCCCCCTCCATCCCAGGGCAGGGCCTGGATCATTCCCCCTCCATCCTGGGGCAGGGCCCAGCTCATTCCCCCTCCATCCCAGGGCAGGATCTGGATCATTCCCCTCTATCCCAGCAGGCCGAGCAGGATGTCAGCGTGCGAGCGGCCGTGGGACTCCACCAGGCAGCAGGTAGAGCTCAGGACATGCCAGAGCCTTCACCTGGACCCCCACAGCAGAGAACAGGGGACCAGGGTGGCAACCACAGCCGTGGTGGCACTGGAACCACTGGCCACGCTGGTGGGCCTGGCCTGGGCTGATGGGGAGGGAGTGTCCTCCCCACCCTGGTGACTCTGAGCCATAGTGGGAGGGCTCAGGAATGATGTGAACCCCCCCAGACAGCAAGGGGAGCAGGACAGAGTGTGGGCAGATAGGGGTAATGCCCACCCCACCCCACACTCAGTGTTTTCAGGGCCGGGGGAGAGCTGGGCAGATGGCATTGAGGACACCCTGCAGCTCCTCTTCGCTGGGAAGGAGCCCCAGGTGAGAGTGGCAGGGACAGGGACATCCCTCAGGGACAGGGACATCCAGGGTATGAGGGGCCCTGGGGGACCAGGTGGGAGCAGGGGCTCTGTCCCACCACCTGCCTCTCCTGGGACCCTGGTGGCTGCTGAGGATTTGGGCAGGTCCTGTCTTACACCCCTGGGGGCTCCTGGGGGTTCCCACACAGCAGGGGAAGGGAGGGGATCTCCCCTCATCCCTGCCTGTGCCAGGCCCTCTGTGCCACCCCTGCCATCTCCCTCCCAGTGTGCCCAGTTCCTCCTTTACCTTGCACTGGTCGTGCTGGGATGGGGGAAAGCTGAACATTATCCCTTGTGCCAGGAGAGCAGCTTGGCTGTCGATGGAGTTTTCCACCTGGATGCAGGACAGGTACTGTGAGCCCCAAGTCCTTCTGTGCCAGGGACGTGCTGGCCCAAGCCACGGGCTGGGACACCCAGGGGCACTGCCAGCTCCTCGGGGGTCACAGGCACTGCTGGGACACGGGGCTGGGTCCCATGGAGGGCTCTGTGGGTGTTTCTCATCCCTTCCCTGTTCCCTCTCGGTGTGGTGCCATGCCACGCCATCCATGCCGTGCTGTGTGTCCACACCATGCCATCCATACTGGGACACCTGTGCTGGGATACCTGTGCCTCATCATGTGTTGCCCTGCCCTGATCCATGCCAATGCCCTCTGTGCCATGCCATCCCTGCTCTCCTGGATACGTCTCTCCTGCCAGGAGAAGGTCCTGGAGTTGGCAAGACCCCAGCTGGCCCTGGTTCCCCTTGGCTACAGCGTGTCCCTGCTGCTGTGGGACCCCCACGGCCCTGGGACACAGCTGCCCTTCCAGAGTGTCATCTGGCAGGTGAGGGCACAGGGGAGAGGTGACAGGGAGGGGTGACAGCACAGCCGTGCTGGGCTCCTGGGTCACCCAATGGGCCCCGATCCCGCCTGCTGTGAGACCAACAGCTCCCAGCTTGTCCCCAGGTGATTGACACCATCTTCCAAGAACTGGAGGCCTTGGGGGATGACACACGGAGCCTGCAGACAGTCAGCCTGGTCCAGGTATGGCAGGAGCAAGGCAGGATGTCATGGAATGAGGGTCCCATTTCCCCTCTGCAGCTGCCCAGACCCTGCTGTGCCAAGGGCATGTATTACACTATATATATTATATATTATAGGATTTATTACATACTGGCATCCAGTACCCTCATCCTGAGGGTGACCAGGAGCTGGAGATCTTTGAATCCCAGGTTTTCTCACCTCTTTCCAGGACCTGCCAGGTGTGGGAAGCCTTGGCTGCCCACGGAGCGTCTCCCAGGTTCCAGCAGCCTAGTGGGATAAGGGGAGACCTCAAACCCCTTCCTGCCCATCTCATGGCTGGGCTTTTCCTGCCAGTCACTGATCCCTGTGAAGGTCACTCTGTGTGACCTTGATTGGCACAGGAGTGATGCCAGCTCCTGCCACCCTGCTGGGCCCTGCCCTTTGGCTCTGGGATGCTGCCAGGGACCTGCCAAGCTCCACACAGGGCATTCCCAGGGCTCTGCCCTTCCCTGGCCCCAGGGATGAAAAATCTGGGAGTGACCCCAGGATCAGCCCTTCTCAGCCCTCACCTGTGCACAGCCACAAGCAGCCCAGGCCCCTGGGGAGTGCTGGATGCCAGCAGCCCCCTTTTCCTGCCCCCCTGCCTTTACACAGCCCCCCTTTCCAGGTCAGTACCCACGACAAAGCCTGGGACCTGCTCCATCCTGATGGCCGAGCCCTGCAAGTGATGGATGTCACACCCCTGGGCCTGTAGGTACCTGGTGCCCCGTGGCTGGGCAGGTGCTCCTGGGGGGCTGGAACCCCAATGTCGAGGGTAGGGCTGGGCAGGGAACACAATGCCCAGGGAGCACATATCCCCCAGGGCATGCAGGGGGTGGGTGCCCATGGCCCTCCTCGCTCACTCTTGTCCTCTCTGCTTCCAGGATGGTGGAGGAGGCCACGGAAATCGCCGTGCCCGATGCCCAAGCTGCCATCAGTGCCTATGCCAGGGGGCTGGGTGCCATCCCAGCGCTGTCCCAGGGGTGTGCACGGCAGCCCCTCGCAGATGGGCACCCGGTGCAGGGGTGAGGGCAGGGAAGGATTGGGCTGTGGGGCGCTGGGGTGGCTCTGGAAGCTCTGCTCCCACACTGGGCTCTCCCCAGGGCCGGCAGCCTCTTCACTCTCACCGTGGAGCGGGAGCTGGAGGGTGGCAGGTGCCAGCGCTCGGCCCTCAGGATCCTGGTGTCCCCGGGGGCCACGGGGCCCTGCCCCAGGCTGTACGTACCAGGGCTGAGCCATGCCCCCCCTCCAGCTCCCCGTGTGCCTGCTCCAGGCTGCAGGGATTCTGTACCCAGAGGTGAAGCAGGAGAGACCCTGATACCCCACAGGGAGCCCGTGGCTGGGAGCCAAAGGGGTTGTCACCTCCCCTTGGGGATGTGGGCTCCCTCCCAGTGTGACCAACTCATCCTTGGGCTCCTGTGGGTCGGGGCTCAGCCTGCCTGGCACGTGGATGCCAGTGCCATCCCAGGGTGCCTCTCACTCCACGTGCAGGGAACCTGACACGGGCTGCCAGCCCTGGATTGTGGAGCGGCTGCTGGAGGGGAACAGCCTGACCTTCCTGCTGCTGTGTGTGTCACTGCCAGGTAGTCCCTGGGACAGGGACACACTTCGGGGTGCCCCCTCCCTGATGTTTCCCCCCATCCTGCCCCATGCCTGGCACTCAGTCCCGGGAACACTCGCAGTCATTGGAAGCCGGACACCGGCTCCACTCATCCCCATCGTACCAGAACCTCCCGTGCTGGTGTCCCCCCACGGCCCCTACCCAGGGCTTGCTGCTCTCCCAGACACCTCCAGGGAGGAGATCCTGGGAGCCCTGGGGCTGGCTGAGAGGGTGAAGGGGCTGGCCAAGACCATCTCTGCCACGCTCTGGGACCCTGCGGAGGAGATCACGGCGCGCCGGAGGGAGATCCGAGGGTTGCGGGTGGAGCTCCTGGCTGGAACTGCCCTCCCAGAGCAGAGGACAGCTGTGGCCCAGCTGCGGAGAGCCCTGAGGGAGCTGCAGGTGGGGGAACACCCCTGGATCCATGTGGGACCAGGATGGCACCGATTCCCCTGCTCGGGTGAGGTCTGGGCTCCATCCTGGTGCCAAGGCCCTTGTCAGGCACTGAGGGCTGGGGCTGGGGCTGCCCAGGGGGTGAGATGGAGGGGTGGGATGTGTCCCAGGAGCTGTGCCAGGCCTGGAGGTCTGCAGCATCCCAGTGAGGACCCCCAGCCCCCTTTTCCAGGTGCTGAAGAGTCAAAGGTGGGAGAAGAAGCAGGCGGCGGCTGAGGTGCTCCAGTCTAGTGAGATGCATCAGCCCAGTGCCAAGGTGGGCAGAGGTCAGGCCAGGCCCCCTCACCCAGGGACAGCCCAGGTGCAGGAGAAGCCCTGAATCATGGCTGTGTCCCTGTAACATCTTGTCCTGCTCCCACAGGACCATGTCTCTGCAGGGAATACAGCACCAGGCCAGCCTGGGACCCAGACCAGTGCCACCCTGGAGCCAGCAGGTCCGGAGCACGGGGCCAGACACGCATCCCACACCTGGGTAGCGGATATGTGGGCACGAAGCATGGCTCTACAGGGTGGGAAAGGCCTCCCCCCTCCATTTGAGTGGCTTTCTTCAGCTTCCACATCACACTCATCCTCCTCCCCTGTCCCCATGCAGGACGAGGTGACAGCGGGAGCAGCCAGGGAGGGGACAGCAGAGCTCCAGCCAGTGCAGGGCAGGAGCTGCTGGAGGAGCTGTCCCAAAGTGAAATGCCACAGCCACGGCCACGGCCTAGGGGTGACACGGTGAGTGGGAGCTCAC